AGTGGCCATGATCTTAGTTTTTTTGATGTTGAGCTTCAGACCCTTTTCTGCGCTCTCCTCTTTCACCCTCATTAAGAACTTCTTTAATTACCCTTCACTTTCTGCCATCACAGTGGTATTATCTGCATATTGGGGGTTCTTGACATTTCTTCCAGCAACCTTAATTCCGTCTTGGGATTCCTCCAGTCTAGCCTTTCGCATGATGTATTGCGCATATAAGTTAAATAAGCAGGGGGACAATATACAGCCTTGTCGTTCTAACTGTTGCTTCCTGTCCCACATATAGGTTTCTCAGGAGATAGATAAGGTGGTCAGGCACTCCCATTTCTTTAAGAACTTGCCATAGTTTGCTGTTGTCCAAACAGTCAAAGGCTTTTGAATAGCCAGTAGATGTTTTTCTGGAACTCTCTGGCTTTCTCCATAATCCAACACACGTTAGCAATTTGGTCTCAGGTTCCTCTGCCCCTTCGAAATCCAGCTTGTACTTCTGGGAGTTCTCAGTCCACATACTGCTAAAGCCTACCTTGTAGGATTTTGAGCACAACCTTGCTAGCGTGTGAAATAAGTGCAATTGTGCAGTAGTTAGAGCATTCGTTGGCACTGCCCTTCTTTGGGATTGGGATGTAGACTGATCTTTTCCACTCCTCTGGCCACTGCTAAGTTTTCCAAACTTGCTGGCATATTGAGTGTAGCACCTTAACAGCGTCATCTTAACATGCCTCACAACACACTAGAGTACACACCCAGCAGAATAGCCTTGCCATGCTGCTTGTGGGCTCTTCAGAATCCAAAGAAGGATGGGCTCAATAGACCTTTTGTCTGATGTGGCTCCAATTCTTCCTTGTCTTCTCATAAAACTATACCATGATACATTCACCTGCATTCTTACTCCACTGGGTGAGCCAAATGCCTACAACTTCCTCAATGAATAGAAAGAGACAAAGGCGAATTCAGCACTCAGGTTCCTTTGCCCTGGAAAATTGTCTTCTACCTGTTGCACTATCCCCACAAACCACCTGAATGAAATAGCACTATTGAAGACTAGCTTAAGAACTGCTGCAACCATTCATTAAGCATGAAGTCATGAGAAATCTGGGCAAGTATTAGATCCACCTACAGGAAACCACCTGTGGAACTGCAGCCTAGATAAAAGCAATGCTTACAGGACAAGATTACACTCTGCCTTCAAACTGGTTAGTGACTTTTGTAACAATACAAATCCTAGCATCTCACCCTTGTATTATCTTATCACAATTCTGCGTCTTTCCCAAACCAAAATGCATCTCACCCTTGTATTATCTTATCACAATTCTGTGTCTTCCCCAAACCAAAATTATCACACATACACACAAATCAGCAGTCAATGCTTTCCCGATGTGGAATAGTAAAGAAAACTTCATCTGCCAGATTTCTGCCCGCCAAGCTGCTGCTAAAGGGCAGACAGACAAGCTCCTGCCTCCTGTTATCAGGAGTGTCAGAACAGAGGACCTCAAGCCTATAACTGTGCCAAAGAAAGAACTACACCCTTAGGGACCTACAGAAATTGTATGTCCAAAAATTCATACAATTAAACCAGTAGTTAAATCTTAGGTACCACAAAGAAATTCTACAGTATTTTCTCTTTTCATTTTGACCCTAGCAGGTTCCTTAAGTTTTCAACAGGCTGCAAAGGGGGGCAGAGATGATTTTCCCAGCAAGCTGGCAGTTATTACAAGAGACGAAGCAGGAAAGGTAAATTGGAGACCTCAGTGCAGTGGAAGGTGAGGAACGTTTATGACAAACCTGCAGAGGATTGGATGTTAGAGTGCAGGAGAAATACAAGACAGGGAATGTCTACCAGAGCACGAGCCCACCTGTTTTTACTTAGAGACAACTCATCACATTAATGGGGCTCCTCTCACATCAGGGCACCAGCCTCACACCCCATTGCCTACTCGTGATTGTGAATCATCATACCACAGAATGAAATTTAACAGGAATAAGAGCAAAGTTTTAAACCTAGAGAAAAAATAAATCTAATGCACAATTACAAGATGAGGGATACTTGGGGGAAATTGGATAGCACTGGAAAAGTACAGTGGACCCTCAACTTACAGATGGCTCGACTTACAGACTTTTCGACTTACAGACTTTTCGAGTTACAGACTTCTCTGGCTGCAAAATTTAGATTCGACTTGCAGCCGGAGAATCAACCTACAGACTAGAAAAAAGAAAACAAAATGGAATAAAAACGGAACAAAAATGGCCGGTTACGGATTAATCAGTTTTCAATGATTGTAGGTCAATGGAAACTCGACCTACAGACTTTTCGACTTGCAGCCACCATTCCAATACGGATTAATTCTGTAAGTAGAGGGTCCACTGTAGTCTTACAGAGGAGGGGCAGGATCTGTTCTGGATCATCCCAGAGTGCAGGACACACACAACCATGGTCTCAAGTCACAGGAAGCCCAATTTCGGCTGAATATCAGCAAAAACTTCCTGTTAGAGCAGTACGACAACGGAACCCATGACCTCGGGAGGAGACGAGTGTTCCGACACTGGAGGTATTCAAGAGAAAACTAGGCCACCATCGGGTAGATATCCTTTGATTTGTCTTCCTGCCTTGAGCAGGGAGTTGTTCTGTGATTCTACAAAAACCTTCTGCTTCAGTTGGGGTTCGGGTGAAGGAGCTGAACACCAGTTGGAAAACAACAGGGATATAAGACAGAAACAAGGCGAGGTGCCCTGTGTTCCTCGACTCGAGAATGACCTCGGATAAAAAGCAAAAGGGATCCGGATAGGATTGGGATGGTGGTCTGGGATCCTTGACCTATTTCCACCCACACTTGGGAAGGGAGACAGGAGGCCCCCTCTCTCCTTTCCCTCGGGATCTGCCTCTGGGTGACCACATGTGTGTTGCAGCCTTAGTATATGTGTGCTTGTGTGTGCCTGTGTGTTGCATCCTTTACAAAAACCTTCTGCTTCAGTTGGGGTTCCCGTGAAGGGAGAAGGAGCTGAACACCAGTGGGAAAACAACAGGGATATAAGACAGAAACAAGGCGAGGTGCCCTGTGTTCCTCGACTCGAGAATGACCTCCGATAAAAAGCAAAAGGGATCCGGATAGGGATGCTGGGATCCTTGACCTATTTCCACCCACACTTGGGAAGGGAGACAGGAGGCCCCCTCTCTCCTTTCCCTCGGGATCTGCCTCTGGGTGACCACATGTGTGTTGCAGCCTTAGTATATGTGTGCTTGTGTGTGCCTGTGTGTTGCATCCTTAAGTGCCTCTGTGTGTGTGTGTGTGTGTGTGTGTGTGTGTGTGCGTGTGCGTGTGTGTGCATGTGTTGCAGCCCTTGTGTGTATGTGTGTTCCACTCTTAAGTGCCTGTTTGTGTATAGGATTGGGATGGTGGTCTGGGATCCTTGACCTATTTCCACCCACACTTGGGAAGGGAGACAGGAGGCCCCCTCTCTCCTTTCCCTCAGGATCCGCCTCTAGGTGGCCACATGTGTGTTGCAGCCTTAGTATATGCATGCTTGTGTGGTGCCCGTGTGTTGCATCCTTAAGTGCCTGTGTGTGTGTGTGTGTGTGTGCGCACGCATGTGTTGCAGCCTTTGTGTGTGTGTGTTCCACCCTTAAATGCCTGTTTATGTGTGTGCATGTGTTGCAGCATTAAGTTTGTGTTGCACCCTTAAGTGCCTGTGTGTGTGTGTGTGTGTCTTTGTGTTGCAGCCTCAGGCCCCGATCCTGTCTCTACGGGCTGAGGAGCTGACAAGAGCAGGGTTAGAAACGTTACTTTTGCTGCAATACAACCCTCCAGCCCCCTTCTCTTCCCCCCCCCAGCCATGGGGTGACTCCCTGGGTGTGTGTGTGTGTGTTATATTTAGGAGTTGTACTTCCCCCCACAC